GTATATGTATATGTATATGTATATGTATGTATGTATGTGTATGTATGTATGTATGTATGTATATATTTTTATATATATGTATATATGTATGTCGGCTCCGATGGCCTCGTGGGCAGTGCGTTGACATGTAGCGCCTTTGCGCTTCGGGCGTCCCGAGTTTGAGTCCCGGCTCGTGGACCTTCCCGATCCCACCCCCACTCTCTCTCTCACCCACTTCGCTTCCTGTCGACCACTAGCATGACAACCATGTTGCTAACATGTTTTTAGCATGATTAGCATGTTGCTAGCATGATTAGCAAGTTACTAGCATGTTTTTAACATGGTTAGCATGTTGCTAGCATGATTAACATGTTACTAGCATGTTTTTACCATGATTAGCAAGTTGCTAGCATAATGCTAGCATGTTTCTAACATGATTAGCCAGTTACTAGCATGTTGCTATCATGGTTAGCATGTTACTAGCATGTTGTTAGCATAGGGCTGGACAATAATTTGTACATTGATTTATTTGTGGCGTTTGACTTCGTTTAATAAACATGAGCACTGCACGTTTCAAAATCAAAACGCGGCGCGGGTGTTTTATATGAATGTATCTCTGAAGGGAACCGACTGTCTTCAGAAAAGTTTCGATGGCATTTTCATTTGATCTGATAAAGTAGCGTTCATGAGCAGAGCTGCTTTGATTGCAGCCGTTACCAGGGAACCTATTTCTTCTATTCTATTTTCTATTTGAAAGCAGTTATTTTAAATCTTCAGAAATCATTCTAATATGGCAATTTGCTGATTATCAATATTTAGAACAGTTGAGAACAATTGTTTTTTATGAATAGAAAGATCCAAAGATCAGCATTTATCTGAAATAAAAAGCTTTTATAACATTATACAGTATTCCATTCAAAAGCTTGGTGTCAGTATAATTTTTGCGGGGGAAAGAAACTATAGAAATTTTATTTAGAGCTGCAATTTTATTTTATTTTTAATACTTTTATTTAGCAAGGATGATTTAAATTGATCAAGAAGATTATAATGTTACAAAAGATTTCTATTTCAGATAAATGCTGTTCTTCTGAACTTTCTATTCATCAAAGAAACCTGAAAGAATTCTACTCATTTGTTTTCAACATAATAATAAATGTTTTTGAGCAGCAAATCAGAATATCAGAATGATTTCTGAAGGATCATGTGACTGGAGTAATGATGTTAAAAATTCAGCTTTGAAATCACAGGAATAAATTATATTTTCAAATATTTTCAAATAGAAAACAGTTATTTTAAATAGTAAAAATATTTCAAAATGTTACTGTTTTTGCTGTATTTTGGATCAAATAAATGCAGGCTTGGTGAGCAGAAGAGAATTCTTTAAAAAACATTAAAAATCTTACTGTTCAAAAACTTTTGACTGGTAGTGTGTATGTCAGCATATAGTTTGATATAAGGTGAACATTATTTGTGCTGTTTTTTTCTTAAATATTATATAATTTTATAGGAGGAGGTTTCATAGACTTGGAAAATTCATTTTTCAGAAGTTTGTAGGTACAGACATCTGTTGTGGGTGTTCTTGCCAGTTTTTATGATTTTTTTTTTAATAGTGTTCATATCGATATTGGAATTATATCGTACCGGCTGAAATTAAGAAATATATTATGATATAAATTTTGGCCATATCGTCCAGCCCTATGTTAGCATGATTAGCGTGTTAATAGCATGTTGCTAGCATGATTCTAGCACAATTAGCAAGTTACTAGCATGTTTGCTAGCTTGTTTCTAGCATGATTAGCAAGCTATTAGCATGTTGCTAGCATGATTAGCATGTTTGCTAGCTTGTTTCTAGCATGATTAGCATGATTAGCAAAGTTACTAGCATGTTGTTTGCACGTTTCTATGCTGATACAGTTAAAACCAGCTAAAACCAGTTGATTCCGTAAAA